TTCGAGAGGTCCAACAGTTGGCTTTGGAAGTGACTCGATCCTGTCTTCATTTGTGCTCTAATCTCTTCCATCTACAAATAGTGTTCAATTACAAGTTTTTCCAAATAGAAATAAAATAGAAAAAGTACCTGCTTATCAAAATCGTCATCGATTGCGGGTTTGATAATGTTATACTTTTTCTTGGGTCTTTCGATTTCTTTCTGCTCCAAGTAGGCTGAGCGTTTGTAGCTAAATTATTGGTATATTTTCAAGACTAGGGACTTTAATGAAGGTACATATATTAATGAATATCCAAGCATGGAAAGTCACGAATGTTGCGAAAACGTATCGGTTTGACAGAGGAGCCTTAGTCATGACTAACTGCTAGAGAGAGTTGTACTGGTATAATCGGGGATTGCGCGATTTCCTCACTGTTTACAAATCCCCAAGAAAAAGTTCTTTCTTGACGTCGAGAACGTTCTGACACAAGCTCGCACCGGCACACAGAATTTCACCGCATACACACTCACGTTATCGCTTCCTCCTTGATTTCTGGCTCTTTGAATTTGTTCAGAATTGAATTGACAGTTCCAAGGCGACGTGCTTTTTGTTTTGCCGCTTCCTGCAATTTCGCATATGACGTGACAGTAGTAGAAGTCGGACAGGCTAGAAAAACTAGCAGACACGAACCTCATCTGCAGCAGCTTTCTTCTTCGCATCCTCGGCTGTCATGTTAAGCGCCGATTTTCGCACTCCACTCTTATCCTCGGTTGTCTGAAAAAGAAATGAACGTGCCTACTCTTGTGTTTGTTCACATCATCTCCTTCGAAATCACCAGTAAGGGAGTTTCTCATTTTGATTATCTCAATATAAAGACATCGCACAAGTTCGACATCTTCCAACTCTCTCATGCGCTGATCCAGATCCCTTTTTTTCATGAATCTATTCATCCATATAGGCGATATCAGCTGATGTGAATCGTAGCTGGTCAAACTAGATTTTAAAAGGCCTTGTAGTTAGTGCCCAAAAGTGTGAAATCCCAACAAAAACTGCGTTGCTAAATTGAGTTTTACGATTCATTACATATCATTAGATATCAGCTGCATAACGTAACACCTTAAATCACTGAATCCTTTACATTTTTTGACTTTGCACTAAAAGTAGGAC